TACATCACATCTCTAATTAGTGTTGTACAACTAAATCCTATCGTCTGTTGAGGCCTTTAAATAAACTGTCCATGAGAGAAGGAGCAGGTATTGAATAAAAAAAATGCTTACACTAATGTCTACCTGGCTATGAGAGAGGTGACGTATATTAAATAAAAAATATGTTTACACTTATTCCTACCTGGCTATGAGAGAGGGTACGTATATTAAATTAAAAAATATGCTTACACTTATTCCTACCTGGCTATGAGAGAGGAGAAATTTAAAATCAAAATATGCTTACACTAAAATCTACATGGCTATGAGAGAGGAAACATAATATTAAATAAACAAAATATGCTTACACTTATTCCTACATGTCTATGAGAGAGCGGACATATATTGAATAAACAAAATATGCTTACACTTATTCCTACATGGCATTGAGAAAGGGGAACTCTATTAAATACAAAATATGCTGACACTAATTCCTAACTGACTATGAGAGAGGAGAAATATATAAGATAAAAAAATATGCTTACACTTATTCATACCTGGCTTTGAGAGAGGAGAAATATATTAAATAAAAACAATATGATTATACTTATTCCTATCTTACTATGGGAAGTGAATATTACGTCGTTTCGATTACTTTCTCATATTTAATAAACAAGATTAAGCAACTATCTTTCTTGTCTGATTAGATCAATTATCTTTGTTTTAAAATATCTTTTGTTGTCCGTAAGTCCGCAACATGTTTTACTTTTGAATATATTTTTCCAATCAAAAATCGTTTGAGAAAATTAAATATAATTATTTAGACAATAACAATTATTCACCGAGGTAGTACAAATGTAATTGACACTATAATAATAATCTGAAAATTGGCAACATCGGTAAATTGCATTGAGTTAAGGACATCTGTATGCAAAATGTAAACAAAATTTTCCCTACAAAATTGGACTATGAACACTTTTCTAACTTCAGGTATTAGAATGGCTATTTTTCAGAAATATTGATATCTAAATAATATGGGAAAAATAAATATTAATTTAAAACAACGCTTTAATACGAAATAAATAAATATACGTATTTATATCACGAATTCTTTATTGTGAATTCATTTCCGTTTAAAAATGACTTACATAAATAATTATTCCCTTTTTTTATTTAATCTTGACCAAATATTCCCGCTGATATCACATATCACGAATTATATCTGATTTATTTGAAAGACATAACTTTATTACTACTCAATACCGTCATTTTCAGTGTTGTATATTTTTTACAATTGATTTGTTGTTTTTTGTGTCGCAACTTTTAGCTATTGCCACTAGTAGAAAGCCAGGATAGCCTGCTGAAACCAAAAGCCTTTGCAACAAGTATAGAGCAAAGCGAGCCTGCAGAAATCTAGAGTGATCAGCCTTTGCCACAGTATAAAGTCAGGGGCGACCTGCTGAAATCAATTGTGATCAGCCATTGCCACCAGTATATAGCCAGGCCAACCAGCTGAAATCGAAAGTGATCAGCATTTGCAAAAAAGTTTGAGACAGGCCAACCTGCTAAAATAGAGTGTGATCCTTTTTTGGCACAATTATTAAGCCAGACCAGCTTGGTCAAATTCAATTTGATAACCCTCTGTCACAGCTATAGAGCCAGGCCAGTCTGCTGAATTCAAATATGATCAGTTTTTGCCACCAGTATAAGGCCAGACATGCTGGCTGAAACCAAAAAAGATCAGCCTTTGCCCCAGTATAGATCCAGACAAGCCAGCTGCCATCGAGGGTGATCAGCATTTGCCAGCCATTAGTATAGAACAAGACTAGCCTGCTGAAACCGAATGCCAACATTATAGACGCCCGCCATCGAAACCGAAAGTGATCAGCCTTTGTCCGCAGTATAGAGCCAGGGCAGCCCTCTGAAATAAAAAAGATCTTTTAGTTCCCTAGTATAGAGCCGAACACTTGCTTAAACCAAATGAGATAAGTTATTGCCTTTAGGATATAGCCAGGTCTGCCTTCTGAATAAAATATCAGTTATTGCCACCGGTATAGAGCCAGTCCAGCCTGAAGGTTTGAGCCATTGCTATCAGGAAATAGCCAGGCCCCGTGTTCACAAAGAAAAGATCAGGATCAGGATCAGGTGATCCTAATTTTATTTTCATTGTTTTATAAACTAAAATTGATAGTATTATGCTAGAATTAAATGGTACATATTCGAATGGTAAATACTTGCTTATTTGCAAAGAAACCAACCTATATTTAAATAAAATCAACTAATAACAAAACAAAATTAATACAAAAATATTCGGATCAAAATAAGGATCAATTTTAGGATCAAGATCAAAATTTGGATCAACTGTAAAATGCCAATTATTTGTAAAAATAACAATAAATTTATTTTAAACTTTCATAAACATGATATTTTAAGTCCAGTTTGATATATTTAATATTGAATATTTAATCTAAGAGGATAAATTTTGGAGAATATTTGAGTTTTTAAATATGATCCTTATCCTTAAATCTTTGTTAACACGGGACTAAGCTATCCTGCTGAAACCAAAATTGATCAGCATTTGAAACCAGTTAAGAGCCAAACCTGGCTTCTGAAAAAAGGTCAGTTATTCCCACAAGCATAGGGCCAGTCCATCAGCCGATGCTACCTGTAAAGAGAAGGCAGCCAGCTGAAACCTTAACTGATCAGCCTTTGCAGCCAGAATAGAGCCAAGCCATCGTGCTGAAACCGAAGGGATCAGCTAATGTTGCCAGTATCTAGCCAGGTCAGCCAGCTGATACTGAAAATAAAAAGGCTTTGCCAACACAATAGAACTAGGCCAGGCAGCTGAAACTGAAAGTGATTAGTCTTCGCCACAAGTCAAGAGCCAGGCCAGCTTGCTGAAACCGAAAGTGATCAGACGTTGCCACGAGTTTAGAGCTTAAACTGAATGAGATCAGCCTCTGCCATTATGACGCAGCCAGGCCAGTTTGTGCATCCATGCAGTATGACCAGGCCCTTTTCTGTTGGCATTTTGATTTAAACAAGTTTCAAATGGGTTGTAAAGACTTTAAAGCACTGCAAAAACATTATACAAACACAAGTTCAGCAGTTTAAGTGTAATATTTATTGGAGAACAAAACAAATACAAACAGTTTTATGATATATCTGAAATTTTAACACTGTTAAAAGGTCACATTCATTCACAAGTAATTAAAAAATGATAAAATTATGAAAATCTTAACATGTTCAAAATACTTATTCATATAGCCACACAGATAATCTTAAACAGATACCTCTGGAGTATGCGCATACATTATACAATAATACAAGTTGTTTCCCTTACATTTCAAACACATTGACATAATATCATATTTTTACGATAATTCAAAATGAACAATCTCACGTTTTGTTGTTTATCTAAATGGACACATATTTTATAAGATGTTACTTTTACACATATAAAAATGTTACTGTATCTGATATGACATTGATTACACACTTGAAAAATATTACATCGAAAAATATTACATCGTGTATGAATTGACAGTTAATTGGCGAAACGCTCCACCATTAATAAAGCACTCTGGTATTGCAATGATTAAACACTGATAGATAATTTCTATTTAAACTGATACTGTTCAAGTTGATTGAATAAGTGACTCTTATTAGACATTTATTGGGCAAACATTGTGACTCTATTAAAATGACAATGCAAAATATACACTGTGCACGAATATTCAGCGTCTTTTTTAATTTGTTCTTCATATCTATTTCAAGGATTATTTTTCTCTGTTTATTGTTATATATTCCTATTATCTTTAACGATATATTCGTTAGGAGAAAATGAAATAAATGACCTAATTAATTATAGCCATGTACATTTAAAAGGTTTCTTTCCTTCTCTGTCTTTTGTGTCAATCAAAGCATATTTGATTGGTAATGAATAGTTTACCACAGCCATATCCACGCTGTTGTTATAAAAGATAGTTGTGTATGTCCTTACTGCTTTATGTAACACAATTCTAATTATAAAAAGACGCTAACAGTTCGTGAATCACAGACAACAAAAAAGTAGCCTGTTTATTGTTATACCGTCATATTTTATTTATATCGTCTAGGACATCTTGTTTAACAGAAAATAAAATAAAAAACTAATTCATAATGGCCATGTACATCCAAAATGCTTCTTTCGTTCTGTGCGTTAAGTATGTTTGTGTCAAGCAAAGCATTTTGTTTGGTTATATATTGTTTATCATAACCCACGCTGATTTAGTATAGTTAGCTGTGTAAAATAGATTAATACAGAATCCCTAAAAAAGGCCAACACGGCAAAATTGAAAATGTTGCAGGCTCGGTTTGATTGAGCCTGTTCATGGACGGTACTGGAAAGTGCAAGTTACCGTCCACGCCCCCTAGCACCGGCTTAAGGAGACTTCAACATTTAAACATGAAATAGTAAACTTTTGAATTTAGAAACATCCGCAGATGTGTTCATACGGCGGTTATCATGGAACCTTAAATGTGACACTTCCGTGCCATTCCATGAAACGCGGCGTATGGTCCCTAAGTAATAAAAATGCGTGTGCCCTAAACGAGAAAAGAATGGGCGTAACCAAATAAAATGGAATTTTGAAAGGGGATCATAGGTTATGAAGCCTGCATATCACAGATAAGACGTCAAAAGACGAATTTAAAAAGCAGGCAACATATCCTAAGGGTGATTCAACATTATTCCAGTAGGAATATTGGAACCACCCAACTAGAAAATGCCGAAAAGTTGAAACTAAAAATACCAAAAGCACAAGAATAATGTCGTGCTGAACTATTTTCAAGGATCGAGAATATAACATCATTGATTAAATGTACGGGGAGACTTTTTACAGTCGCCACACGGCACAAATAACACGGATGTGATCATAAAATAGATTAATACAGAATCCCTAAAGAAAGCCCAACACGGCAAAATTGAAAATGTTGCAGGCTCGGTTTGATTGAGCGTGTTCATGGATGTAAGTCCTACTTCCTCAAACATGTATCTTAAAATTCTGAATATAAAAAGACGCTAACAGTCTAAATATATGAAACTTTGCAGCATTATGTCTTCTTCGTATTATTAAGGACATCAGAAAGCATTTCAAAGCATCGTCCTTGCGGTATTCTTGTTCCATACACTGTCCGAGAAGGTTAAGCGCTGTTTCCCTGTGTCCGAGATTTTGTTCGACAATAATAGTTCTGTTAAGCTTTTCGAGAGCTCTTTGTTTATCATCTTGTCTTCCTAGACAGGAATATGTCTTGTATTGCAAGAAATAGAGGTACGGAAGAGAATCTATAACAGCCATGTCCATCCATTTATAATCTTTTCCTCTATTAGCAATGTATTCCTGTGTTGATCTAAACATTTCATGTTGAAGTTCAAAAGGACAACAATTTATTTCACAACGTAAAAAATAGACACATGATGCTGTTAAATGTTTAAACAGGGGGTATTCATCGTTTGATTCATAACATAAGCTGTTAAACTTTTCTCTATCTGAAACCTTTGCAAAATTGTAACACCTACATACTGATGTAACAATACTAAGATCATAACATTCTTCAATATTTTTCAAGACCAGTTCAGTCCTCTGAATATCCCCGGTACAATAGAAAACGGATGCTAGTTTCAATTTACCAGATGCTACATCGGAGTCGAGTCCTAATGACATGAATGAAAGCGCCTTCTTGTATACTAAATGATCTTGTTGGCTAATGTTTAAAGATGCTAGAATTGACCCGAATGTATTACATAAATGTCGTGTTATCAAACTGTACGCTTTTCTATCTATGTTTGTAAAATTCTCATTATGATGATGTGACAAAAATGTTAAAAGTTTTTGAATCGTAAGTCGTGGTGATAAACCATTTATTTCATGTAAGAGAACATTAAAGTTTGTGCTTATACAACAGGCTGAATGTGTTAGCAATTGCCCAACAATACTAGTTGGCATATTATGTGCATATCTAGGTACCAGACCGGTTAAACTTTTTTGTAAATATGAATCAAAGTAGTCACATTTAATTTCGAGCAATGCCCTTCCATTACTTTCGATTACATAATGAAGTGTTTCAAGTATTAACGGCTTCGTTTCCGGAGAAAATCGCCCACTCATCAAGTTATTTTGTGTGTTGTGGAATTGAGGACAGTATTCATTTTGGACAAAGTTGTAAAGTGTTGATAAACAAAATGATAGACAAGTAAAGAGGGTATTTTCCTTCAACGCATCAGATCTTGTATATGAAATACAGTGTAACAGAACGGTTTTACACATGAAACTTGAAATGCTGTTTGGAAACCTTTGAGTAATAAATGTTTTCAATATCATTTTCATCAAAACATAACATCTGACTTGTGTGATATTAAGGCTAAACATTAAAAATCTCTCTGCAAATGATGTGGATATTCTCCATTCAAGAAGTTCATTTACACTTCCTGTTTTTCCAACTCCAACCACAAAGCACCGCATGTTACTACAATATTGTATCATATCATTTGTTGGCCAATTTCCTTCTCTTTGTTGATATAACCTGAGGCCTGCTTGCAATTGTCCTGACATACAAGGAAAAGCAAGAACAGAATCACAATCAGTGAGTCCAGGAACATTTTGTGTAGAATGGGCCGGGCCGTTTTTTACCATTGCTCCAAATGGTCCATTAAATAATGTATTTTTTAACAGTATTCTCCCCATTCTGTCTCTATATGAATGATTTCTATGTTTTATTACGCATGGACTTGGAACATCATTTCTTAACTCTTGTAACAAACAATATCCTGGTGAAACATTCCCATCTTGTATCATCAACAAATTCTGTTTACCATGTTTCCATTCATCCCAGTCTTGTATCACATTGATTTTGTTCATAAAATAAACACTATCACCATCAGAGTTTAATCCTGGTGTTGTTGTACCTTCTATTTGACTACCGAAGCTGAACGTATCAAGATCATGGCCGCAAAGCTTTAAAGATAACGTCGTTAGTGAATCACGCAGTAGCACTGATTTCCTTCTTTTCATCACTGTTATCTCGTTTACACCAATCCAGTCCAGCACTTTAGACAGTTTAAGTGACACATTGTGAGTGTATTCCTGTATCCCAAACATTCTAAAACAAAATAAAAGGTCAGGTAAATCATTACATCTTCTGTATTCCTGCATTATTTCTTCTTATCAATAGAAAATATGTTTTCACGAGAAATAAACAGCAATTTATATCTCGACTCAAGCGTATATGTTGCTATAAGACATGGACGTGGCACATTAAAACGCAGTATTTATAAAGTGTATAGTTTTATAAGTGATTTAACAATTTTATCTAAGCTTATTATGTCAAATAAAAGATGGAAATACAGTTATAAGTCTAACCTGGATCTAAAAAGTTTACAATTAGAATTTTCTATGCTTCACATTTTAATTAGACATTATAAATGGTAACAATAAGGAAAAAGAAAGAACTATAAATACATAATTTTGGGGTTATAATCGTAATATGGTGGCGATTTTCAGAGGACAAAATTTTGAATTGTTTGTCAATAAAGTACACACATATCTCTTCAACATTTTATGTATTTTTCTTTAAATACCTGATTCTGTATCTTCCTCTTTATCACAGAAACCAAATTATCAAATATAAGAATCATTACTAACATTTTAACAAAGATATCACACTTTTAAGGCCTTATTGATTATATTGTATTTTGTAAAAGTTGGCTGATTATTCTTTGATCAAATATTATGTGACCAACGAAGTTAAAAAAAAATTCTAATGAAGCGTTTTGTGGCTTTACAAGTAAAATGATATGAGATCCTTATGATGAGGATTTTTTATTTAACAATCGCTTATTTTGTTTGTTATATGTCACGATAAATTAAATCAATGGTAAACACATATTTAATCTATCAATGAGTCTTCTTTTAAAACTGTATCCATTGTCACATATGAGTGTAAGCATATATTGACTACTAGCACTTTTTAAAACTGCTTTATGGGCCCATTACCTGCATCTCTAACTAAAGTTTCTAACAAAAAGTACAAAATACAAAAAAAAAAAGAACAAAAACCTCAAAAAAATCTCGAATAACACTTAAATAACCGATGATACCGTAGTTTAAAACTGTGCTTTATTTATCTTTTGGTAATTCCATACACTACCACACAAATGCTTCCGATGTCAAAAGCAATATAACACCCATATTAAAAATAAATCAACTGAGGTCCAAACACAAAAAGCTCATATAATATGAAATTCTCATAAACTGGGGCACATAAAATGGAAAGCAAAAAGGCAATACATACTGGAAATTTTCTACTCAACATTGGATTTTGATCCACTTTTGTATTTTGTAATTATTACCGTTTCTGTTAACACATTCAACAATCTATGATACGTAAAGGTTTTGTTTTGTATTGTTTATTTGATAACACTGATGAATTAGCCATCTGATTTGCATTAATTAACAGAAACATTAGTGCAAAATTATCTAAGCGAGACAATTTGAACAAAATCACAAATTGCCGGAAATTTGGAAAAGTAGTTTTTTTTCTACGTTGAATAATTTCATTGTCGTGTTTCCTATAACGGGCATTAATTACAAGCTGAGACTGCCTTAGTATTTATTAAGTGAGCCACACGAAGTTACACGAATGGAATAACGCCTGATATCATGCAATATATTCCTTATTATCTTGATAGATACTTATTTATTTGTTGCATTCTGCAAGCTGTTTCATAATGAAGAAGCGATATGAAAACAATTGCGCCGGGCCTGAACAACAATACTCGGTATTTTGCATGGTTTGATACCAAGAATTGGTAAACATGTTTCTTAGTGATGCCTGTCTGCTATTTACCTACTCCCCTTTATCTCGTCAGACATAAACCGACTACGAAGATTTTTATTAATAATATTGCATACATTGTTACACAAACGTTGAATTGCATATTGTGGACAACAGCAAAGAAATTTTGACAATTTTCTTATAGCATTCCATGTTTTTGGACATCAAATGAGGAATTGTAATTGTTTACTGATACTGCAGGCGCAAAAAAGGCATGGAATTCGAATTAGGTATAAACCTGTATTTTGCCGAAAAATAAAGAATATTACCAATGATTTCAGGCACAAGCAGGCATCTCAGTAAATAAATACATATTTAGTTAAGGCTACTAAAATTAACAAATTTATCATTATTAGCGTTAAAGACCTTTGAGATAATAATGATGAATATGTTCTTATGCATGTAATATGTTGCACAAATGTTTGATGCTAAACTGATGTCTTTAAAAGAATAACTAATTGACTGTTGCTTTCTGGCGAGTAGTACTTTGTTAAAGAAGTTCAATATTTTGATTTTATATGAAAGTCAATACATTACTTACAATTTACAACTGTAATGCAATTAATTTCACATTCAGTGGCTCCTTTTCAGGTAAAGGGCATTCAGATCTGCTCAAAAATCATTATCCAAATATTATAAAATTTGCCTTACTTTATAAGTAAAAATGTTTCTGTTTCTGAGGAATAATGTATCAAAATGATAAATGTCCATAACATAAATAAGGACTCAATTAAATACATTAAGTGGATTGGGAAAGTTAGGACAAACAGTCAAACATAAGAAAACAGGAGCTATCATTAATTAATACATTTATTGTTAAGGAAGCTTTAAACTTATTGTCACAATCTCTAATGCGGTACCGGAAACTAGCAGTTCTGAGCAATTAGTGTAATATATTTTTATCAAAGTAACAATGGCTTGATTCTAACATGTGTCACAGTTTAAAATTATATGGTAATGGCAGCCGTGAATTCCCATAGTTTTATTTAAGCAAAATCATCGTCCACGCGCCTTTTTATTCGGTTTCGTTTAGTTTTTATCGTATAAGTGTAACTTCCGGTATTAAATCGGTAAAAATCAACAATTTCCGTCAATAATGTACATTGTCAATCTCACCCGTGCAATATCGTAAACACTGGTCACTCGTTCTTTCTTGTAACTTATCCAATTGTTGTGTTTGTTATGTATAATTCTATGTAAAAAATATCCATTGGTTCTTTTAAATATTTTTTTACTTCTGCGCACTGTTTGCTTTTCCTGTCCCGCTCACACTTTACAGTCATGTCTTACAAGTCAAACATAGTAAAACTAAAGTTAATCTATTTAAAATTAAATCTACATTTACTTTACTTATTTCAATTTATATTGAACTAGTTTAATTCATATAAGTAAATATAAATTACAAACGCTGTGGTAAAAATAGTATTAATATTAAAATATTAATTGTATGTCTTGTGTATTTTCTTATTCCGCGTCAATTGTGTATATATTGTTATTTCATTGTATTTTATTTTTATGTGTATAATATTTGTAAAATGTGTAATTATTTAATTATATTTTTAAACCATTTTTACTTAAATTCTAATAAATACACCAAACGTACGCCCAAAGTTGTACTATCCAGTGTAAAAATATTTAACCCTGTGACACTGGTGGCTTGACCTATTAAATGTCAGCCATTCTATAATCGAAATATTCCAGAATGTACATTTTCATAACTTATTTTTAAACAATATTATATACAAGGCACAAGGAATTTGGCATTGAAGAATTAAGTAAATGAAATATGTTAAATAAAATAAAATGACGACTGTCTAAATGGCAACAGTAAGCTGTCTTTATGTTACTTTTTCTTCTAAAAGATCAAATATAGATCCAAATCAACTTGAATTAATATATTGTCACAGTGGTTGTTGCATAACGGCAACACTTTCATCGCTTTTAAATTTAGAGCAACTAATAGTAAACAAACAGTAAAATTCAAAAGAAATGACCTCGTTTTAATGTCGTTCGTTTATGAGTCAAGGTCAAACGTATTTTCGATCTTCCCTAAGAAAATATTCCCTAAATTTAAATGTGTTCAAGAATGAATACAACCAGTTCATAAATCACATAGTGATAGCAAATAACAGAAGAAAAAAACAAAGTCAGAAAATAACACAATACCAGACTATATAAAAAAAACTAAATTTCAATTTCATGAATAATAACCTGAATAATTATGTCATTTATCATTTTCATGGTCATTTTGACCTACTTAAAGGTTTCGTATAAAAATTATCTTTTTGTGTGCCAGAGTATAGAGACAACTCAGTTATAAATAACAATATTATAGCCTTAAATATATTAATGCGAAACTATAATAATAAACATTTACCTTGAGTTTAGCAAAACGTTCAGTATATGGTCTGATATACCTTTTAATTAATTATCGGCATAAGCAAACTAATGTAGAAAGTCCGATGGATCACGAAGGTTTTCAAAAATATAACTGCGTAAAATAAAGGTAATTGATTTGTTTCAACCCACATTAAGAGCATTGGGTTTTCTCTGACTTTCTTTATAAATATGTGTTAATCGTTTTAAATCTTAAACAAACATAATAAAAACATATATCTTATCACCTGTTTTTGACATGTATGTTTCACCGATATAATTATGTTAAGTTAAAAGTAAACAGATACTTGGCATTTATCCATATATATGTCAAAAAATCAAATAATCACCTCATAAAAAATATTAGTATTTATTATATTCATTTCATTTTAAAAATTCATGAAGTTATGGAAATGCTAGTTAGCTGATTAGAACTTATATATCAGAAAACGCAAGTAAAATGAAACAAATTCACTTTACTTGAAGCAATAAACCTAATAGTTATGACTTGAGAAGAATGAAATATGTACAGGTTGAATCGTTACAATCTTAAATAATTTTACTGAAGCACCTCTTTGAAACATAGATTTCAAGTGCTTTTAGTTTCTTTTTATCTTAAAAGGAGCTCCAAGGAGGTCCTTAAATATAGATTATAATTTTATGTAGATCTCGAAAGTATAATTTTGTACCGTCATGTAATATATTACGTGAAGTTGTTGAGTACTTTTCTACATTCAAGCAAACACTATAAAACGCATTTTTTGTCGAAACAATCTTTTTTTGCAATCATTAAAACTGGATACCTTAAAAGTTAGCGAGCAGAGTTATCTATATTTAGTTATTAGTGTCTCCTTAGACGTAAAGTTATTGCAGCTCTTACAAAAATGTTAGAGAATTTGTATTTAATAGCAGCCCTCATTACTTCACAGATAACGTGCCGTTG